TCGAATTTTAACCACTTTTATCTAGATGCAAATGAGGCCGTCAGTCTCACGCCCATGCTCAATCCATACATCAAGTACAAGCTGCCCCTGCCCGAGATCCCATATGCCGACCACTTCCCTTGCATCGAAGATTGGAAACGCCACCAGCATGTTGTATTTGGTCTTTCCAAGTTACCGTGCTTCCGCTCCAACAAAAGTCACCATTACTACAAAGATCGCTGTGCCTTCTATGGCCGATCTCCTCCTCAAACCAGTTCCCAAGCTCTACAAGAATTTGGAGAAGGGGTCCTTGTGTATTCAATGGATGCCTATTTGGAACTTGCAGTCCTTCCTGAGTTTCTAAACTGGATCTATTATGCTGAAAAGAAGAGTGGTGTAGCGCTAGATAAAAGGACGAAGTATTGTGCATGCGCACACTTCTCCACATGTTCCTCCCTTTTCCAGTGGAGAAATCCTCCTCCAATTTATACCGTCAGAACTCTGAACCACAGGGGTGTTTCAAGGACATCAAAGGCTTCACACCTACAGATTCCACAGACATCACGCTTCTCCACCGCGCCCTGGTTCTCCCTTGCTTGACTCACAACTACGTGTTTGGTTGCTGCACGTGACCCTGCGCTCGACTACTACCTGTTGATTTAAAAAATAGCACTCCATGTGATTAGCAAAATCAACAGGTATGTCTCCTCTCCAAGCTTGCATCAACGGCCCAACACTAACCTGCGCAATGACTGTGAAGGCGCTTCTTGAGTTCAGCGGAGAGACCCTTTACAGCTTCCGCACAGTAAACGCCATCCTGCCACCCTCAAATGACCGCAGCAAAGCACTAAAGGTATTTCACCATTATAGTTGCCCACGTAGACGAGGGTTCAAAACCTGGTCGCCACTTCACATGAGTGGCCTCAGGAATATCACCCAATATGATACTTTCAGTGTTACAACCCTCACCCTTATTATTAGGTTTTTCTTTCACATTTATCATTGCACAATTTCATGATTTTTTGCATTCTTCTTTTTCCCCTTGATTGAAAAGTGCTTGGATATTTGTGTTGGAATTTTTAGTGAATCTTATTTTCTTCATGCTTGGCCCTTTGTTTATTTCTTATTCTGTTTTATAACTCCATCCTTTCTACTCGTCAATTGCTTTACTTTTGCAACAACTTCCTCTTGACTAGGTTATTATTGCAGCTCTCCATTACCTTGCTTCGTTGCTTGTGGAACTGTTGATTATTGAAGCGCTGTTGAAGGTTATTATTGCCACTCTCCCTTAACTTGCTTTGTCACGCGTGGAAACTGTCAATTACTGACGTGCTGTTGAAGGTTACCTATTGTCCATAGCTCAACACTGGCTGCTAATTGTCACACTTGCCGTCAGAATCCAGCCTATTCTTATACACACACTGTTAGAACCTGTAGGCGTGCGGAGCAGAGTTCTTAGGAAGCACCCCCGTGTTTCAGAGCTCTGAAGGTATAAATGCAATGGTACACGTACGTGTTTGAACGCGTTTGAACGCTCATGTGATGTCTTTATTCTGTCCCGAGCAAAATAATTGTTGAAAAATACGAAAATACCACGAAAATAATAATAATAAAAGTAAAATGGTGAGCAAGACTACGCTTCCAAGAAGCAGTCGCAAATAAGCAGTTTCCGCTGGTTCTTCAAACTCCCGAAAGTAATAGAGCAGGTCGTCTGACGCAACTATTTGACATCCCCTACTTCTTTTAGTATCCTGAAGTATGGCTCTGTTCCAATGGCTACAACGAATGTTGGAGCGTCAGTGGTGGCTGTTCAATTACCGCCAGTGGCGCCAACGGCCGTTACTGGAATTTCTAGTCTTGTGGGTATTGATATAGTGCCGCAAATTGCTCCTGGAGATGCTTGGCCTTGTGTTCCGTGGATGCAACAATGACTGGAACAGCAGAGGCTGTGATTATGCCAACAAGAGCGGCAGAGCCATCAATTACAAAGAAAAGAATTCACCACAAGAACAGCAATCAATTGTCAAAGAAGCGAAAATCCAAAGCTTGTGTACAAGAGCAAAAGGAGAGTGTGATGGCTTAAGGCGGCAGTGTTCTCTCTTTAAGTCACAAACAACAATAATTGCACAGTTTTTCCAATAAACTTCCGTTCAGTCTTTTTATTCTTAGAAGTGTACATTCCGGTGCGGCGGATTGCACCTGCAGATTCCGGAGCTTTGGGATATGGGACAGGGTTTGCCTGTCCCATATCCACCAGCCCCTTCACCGGAAAGGGACGAACATGCGGAGAAGTGTGCACGTGCACGATACTTCACCCTTGTCGCTTCGGCGGAAGTAAGCTCGTGTGCGAGCGACGTCCACCACCCCTTTCCCTGAGAGTCATAAGCTGCCTCTTAGCCATACAGCGTCTAGCGACTGTGATTGTCCGGTGCTGTGTCACCTACTGTTTATGATAGCATCTCTTTGGACTCAACCCACCTTTAGGGGGCGGCCAATCCTGTCTGCCGGAATCGCGCCGGCCGGCTGCCGGAGTCTACCGGCACCGGCACCGGCACCAGCACCGGCAGACCGGCACCTGGCAACGGGCCACCGGCTCCACAGTTAATCGGCAATGCTTAGCAGCCAAGCAATCCAGCAGTTAGTCCTAGACTTTTGATACAAGACAAAGCAAGCGCAATAAGTACGTTACTGTTGTCAGGAAAAGGGGGCAAAGGTGTTTTGTGCAGTCAGGGAAACGGCGGCCTAGCCTGTCTGCCAGTGATGGGTTGTCGTGGTCAACAATTTGAGCATCTTTTTCATTGTTGAATAAATATTAAAATTCAGATATTTAACACGTTTTGGGTATAATCAATTTAAATCAATATAATTTTATTTTTGGACAATCAAGAAAGGTAAAATGCATGCTATCTCTTCAAATACTCAGCTAGAGAAGCCACAATCTCTTCACTGCCATAATAAGGAACGTTGTGCGTGTGAGTTATTGGGAGCACAACACAAGAGATTCAGAGCAAGAAGTGTTGTTTATTTTACCTAAGGAACGTTGTGCGTGTGAGTTATTGGGAGCACAACACAAGAGATTCAGAGCAAGAAGTGTTGTTTATTTTACCTAAGGAACGTTGTGCGTGTGAGTTATTGGGAGCACAACACAAGAGATTCAGAGCAAGAAGTGAAGAAAACTCAAAGGGGGAATGAAACATTATATAGTAAAATACAAGGGGGTGGTTGAGTAAATGAAACAGAAAATAAAATGTATCGTGTTTCACATATGTGATTGCGTTCAACATGCCCCTCAACTGGAACCCGGTAGGTACTTTGAGAGATCAATTACATTGATAAATTCCTTGTGTTTTTGAAGATCAAATTTTGAGACTGGTTTGGTATTTGGGTCTGCCGGATTGTCTATGCTTTCAATAACTGATGCATTTATAAGTCCTTGGTTTTGTCTTTCGCGGAGTGCCATGTGTTTGACGTCAATATGTTTAGATTTGTTGCGGTGACAGTTGTTGTGGGCAATCGCGATTGCAGTATCGTTATCGCAATAAAGTTGAGTTGGCGCGATTTGAAAAATTCCTATCTCATTGAGGATACGACGATGGCATATAGTGTTTTCTGATGCAGCATTGGCTGAGATAATCTCCGCTTCCAAGACTGATGTAGACGTAGAATGTTGGGATACGCATTTTGATTGGATAACCGTTCCTCCTAGAGTGTGAATTTCGCTTGAGATTGATTTTCGGTCTTCCAAGTTCTTTGCCTGGTCTGAATCGCTGTATGTTTTGAGTGTTAAATCGCCATTTTTGGGGAAGAATAAACCATAATTGATGGTCCGAGCAATATATCCAATTAATCTTTGAAATAGTTCCCAGTGAATTTTTCGTGGCGTATCAAATCGTCGTGCCAGGGTTCTGAATGAGTTTGTTAGGGATTCTCGCGTTTTCTACAGCAAACTTCAATATTTAGTCCACTGGATGGGTTATTCTAACTCTGACCGCTCTTGGGAGCCTGCTGCCAATGTTTCTGGTTCTGCTGAGTTGGTTTCTGAATTCCATGCCAAATATCCCGATAAGCCTGGTCCTGGTGCGATTGCTGCAAGTGTTCGCAATCGCAAGAAAAGAAGGGGATGATGTTAGGAATCACCCGTCTTATAGGGATATTTCTCTATAGTTCCGTAGCTTAGTGGTCATTACGCGCGAGTATCACGGTGGAAACCCGGGTTCGATTCCCGCTAGTAACATTTTACTTTAAGTTTCTATTTTTGTATTTGTCATCTTTGATTTGTCACTTTACTAAGTTTTCAGTTTCATTTTGTGATATCATTCTTGATTTCACATATTATTGTGCTATCACTCTTGCTATCACAATTTCTGTTTGATTTTCAGTTTGTTTTCAGTTTTGAACTTTTGTTATTTGAAATTCCAGAACTTGCATAAATAGCAAGCTTTCTGCTCTGAGTTTTAGTTCAGTTTCAATACATTCTGTGTTAGTCTTCAGTTTTGTAACTCTTCGATCCCGTCTCTCGTGACCTCAAGCCGTTATTGGACAAGCCCTCGTGCCCCCTAAGCCCTCGTGCCTTCAAGAACCCTTAAGTCTTTTATTGACTATCTGGTTCTAACATAGTATTGAAACTAAAATACAATAATGGCTGATACTCCTCCTGCTACCGCTCCTCGGAAATCTGTCGGTTTTGCCGCTACTCTCGGCCGCGGATCCTTCAAACCCCTCCGCTGACCAGTCTTTGCTTGCTCGTCGCTCCGTTGCTCCCGACCTTGTCTCTCTCAAGAATGATTTTGATGATGGATCTGAGCAACAAACCAACAATGTCCTGGATGGAATTGACGAGGCCAGTCGCTACATGGAAGCCAACACTGATAATGAATTTGATGTGGCCACATCCATGGATGCTTTCCGTACGGATCTTTTGGCTCTTTCTCGTCTTGTCCGTAATCAATCTAGTCGTCTTGATAAAGTAATTGAAGCATTTGCTGCGTCATCGAACACCGATCGTAAAGTGCATTGTCAACGTTCAGTTAGCCCAGTTGGTAGTGCTTCGGACTCTGATGATCAGTCCGACTCGGGTTCCCGGTTCGAATCCTCCGAATCTGACAAAATTTCTCTTCGAATTGCCAAGCCTCCTGTTTTCAAGGGTCTCGCTACTGATGATTTTGATGACTTTATGCTCAAAGTCTATCTCAATTTTGATAATTCTGGACCCAAGGGAATTCTTTCCACCAAGTCCAAGATTGCTTTCGTGGTTTCCTACCTTGGTGGTAATGCTGCCAAGTGGTACATCAACCACGTCGCCAAGCCTGAGCTCCAGTTCAAGAGCTTTCAGGAATTTGCTGACGTCTTTGCCGCCTTCTTCGGCGAAGATCCACGTGTCGCTGAAGCAATTGCCAACGATAAAGCCAAGACCTTGACCCAAACTACTTCTTGTCAAGCCTACGCCCGCGATTTTCTCCGTTGGATTGCTGGTACTCAACACAACGATTACACCAAGATGTTGATGTTCAAGCAGGGTCTCAAGCTCCACGTGATGAACTATATTGATGGTCTGGAACCTCAACCAACCAACCTCTCCATGCTCATGCGCAAGGCCATTGTCTTCGATGAGCGCGTGTTTGCTAACAACAAACGTTCTGGATCCTCCAAGGGTAACCAAGGTTCTGGTTCCAGCTCTCGCTCCAATAACCCAGGCGCCTGCTTCCAAGCCCTCTGGGTCTGCTGACGTTGCCGCTGCTGATGTCAAGTCTGGCAAGCCTACGCACGAGGAACGTCAACGTCGCAAGGATAAAGGTCTTTGCGCTTACTGTGGTCAAGATGGTTGCAAGGGTGCTTCTGACACCAAGGCTTGCCCTCTCTTGGTTGCAAAAAATGCTCGGAGCGCCCAAGGAAGGGGTGCTCAGGCGTAAACTTCCCCGCCCAGTTTGGCGATGCAAACTGTCAACCTTTCCGTTCCCTCATCATCGGATTCCAAGATCGTGCTTCCATGTACACTTGTTGTCGGGGAAAAATTTTCTTCTTCTTCATCTCCAAACCTTACCAAGCCCTTTTCTTTGGGTGCCTTCGTGGATAGTGGGTGTTCGGCTTTCGGCCTTATTTCCTTAGATTTCGCTCTAAGAAATAAAATACCTGTTATTCCTTCCTCCACTTTGTACAATGTTAATTTAGCAGATGGTTCGCGTTCTCGCTCCATTACTAAACAAACAGTACCTTTAACTTGTCGAATTGGTTCTCATACCGAAACGATGTCTCTTCTTGTCGCGGATATTTCATGCCCGCTTATTTTAGGTCTTCCATGGCTTCGACTCCATAACCCTCGCGTTAATTGGCGTCACATGTTGGTCACATTCTCCGATGGGGCTTGCCTGTCAGCTGACCACGTGCCCCCTGAGGCTTTTACCGCCTTGCCTTATTCTCCTCCAGACGATCCAGCTGTCAAGGATCTGGAGGTTGCTACCGCTTCTGTTTCAATCCCAACGGAAAATCCGCCAGCGAGTTCTACACCGGACGTTGAGTTGCTTAATACCACTGCGTTCTTTGGCATTGCCAAGAAACACGGGCTTACTATCTTTGCCGCTCGAATGGATGTCACTTCTTCTAAAAGATGATGACACTCCCACCGTGTCAATTTCTGCTGTGATTAATACAAAGGACTATCAGGAGTCTGCTATCGATTCTGACGATAGAGGAGTGCCTTTACGCTACAAGCAGTACTCGGACGTGTTTGCACCCAAGTCTGAGACTCCTCGGCCGCTTCCACCTCATCGCCCTTACGACTTGCCTATCGAGATCGTTAAGAATGAAGATGGAACTTCGGCAAAATTACCGCCGGCTGGGAAAATTTATCCACTGAGCCCAGCCGAAGAAAAAGTTCTCCAGGAATATCTTACTAATGCCTTGGCTAGAGGCTGGATATCTCCCTCTACCTCTCCGGTCGCTGCCCCTTGCTTCTTTGTCAAGAAACCAAATGGTGGTTTCCGCCTCTGTATTGACTATCGTGCCATCAACAACATTGTAGTCAAGAACAAATTTCCGCTACCGCTGTTCACGGATCTTGCGGGAAAATTATCCAAGGCTAAAATTTTCACTCACTTGGATCTCCCGGACGCGTACCACTTACTAAGAATACGCTCTGGTGACGAATGGAAAACTGCATTTCGCTGCAAGTTTGGCCATTTCCAGTATAATGTGGTTAGTTTCGGCCTAACCAACGCTCCAGCTGCCTTCCAGTACTTCATGAATGACATTTTTTCGGACTTACTGGGCGTGTTTGTCATTGTTTATTTGGATGACATTCTAATCTTTTCCGAAGATGAAGAATTACACGCACGTCACGTTAAGGAAGTCTTGGAGCGCTTGCGGAAACACAACTTGGTAGTTAACCCTGCCAAATGTGCTTTCCATACCAGTTCTACGGAATTTCTGGGCCATATCTTCTCTGCCGATGGTGTCAAGATGGATCCTGCCAAGGTTGCTACCGTTTCCAGTTGGCCGGTACCTCAGTCTGTCAATTTACCGCCAATTTATCACCGGCTACTCCGATATTGTGTTACCGCTCACAAGCCTAACGCGTAAGGAAGCCAAAATTGGACCCTTTCCATGGTCCGAAGCCGCGGCATCGGCTTTTGAAAACCTTAAACATGCCTTCTCCACCGCTCCGGTCCTGATTCACTTCGATCCCAGTAAAACCGTGTATGTGGAAACTGATTGCTCAGATTTTGCACTGGGCGCAATTTTATCCCAGTTCGGTTCGGATGGAAGGTTACATCCGGTTGCCTTTCATTCCCGCAAGTTAATTCCAGCGGAAATCAACTACGATACTCACGACAAGGAACTGCTTGCCATCGTAGACGCGTTCGCGGCTTGGAGACATTACCTGATAGCCGTTGAGCCTTCGGATCCGATCATTGTTTTCTCTGATCATGATCGCCTTCAAAACTTTACTGCCGTTCAACAACTGACCCGTCGCCAATATAGGTGGATGACTAAGTTGTCGGAATTTAGTTTTAAAATTTTTCATCGCCCTGGCCGACTTTCCGGAAAACCAGACGCGCTGTCCCGCCGCCCTGATTACGTCACTCAGCAAGGCGATGAGCTGCATAAACAAAACTTTATTCAGCTATTCCAACGTGTGGATATTGATGACATTACCATTGTCAATTCGGACAAAAGCTGGATCGATCGCGTCACCCTCGCTACTTCCAAGTCCGCTCTGTACGCCTTACACAAGAAGCGCAAGTTACACATTATCTTCACTGAATCCAACGGTCTCATCTTTCGTGATGAACTTATTTACCTTCCAACTGAGGAGCTTCAACTTGAAGTTTTCCGTCAACGTCACTGTGCTCCCGCTGCTGGCCACTTTGGCGTTGCTAAAACAGTTGAGTTAATCTCTCGCGATTACTGGTTTCCGCGCATGCGGCGCGTAGTTCAGCGTTTCATCGCAAACTGCGACGCGTGTCAGCGTTCTCGTCCTTCTCGCCATGCTCCATTTGGCCTTCTCCAACCTTTACCTGTTCCTTCCAAACCATGGATGGATATCTCTATGGATTAGATTACTGACTTGCCTATTAGTCAAGGTTTTGATGCCTTACTTGTGGTAAAAGATCGGCTTACCAAGCAAGCCCATTTTATTCCTACGGTAAAAACTTCTACTGGTGCTGATACTGCAGACATCTACATTCGGGAAGTTTTTAGACTTCACGGTGCTTCCAGATCCATTGTATCCGATCGCGACCCGCGTTTTACAGGTGGTTTCTGGCAACGTTTTATGGAACTCCTAAACGTTAAACTTAATATTTCTACCGCTTTTCACCCTCAAACTGATGGATCTACTGAGGTCCTCAACCAAGTCATTGAGCAATACCTACGCGTTTACTGTAACTACCAGCAAGACGATTGGGTATCCAAATTACCGCTTTGCGAATTTGCCTACAACAATTCTTTGGTAACCACTACTGGTCATACACCGTTCTTCGCAAACTCTGGTCACAATCCAATTTTTGACCCCTCTGTTATTCGTGAATCCTCTGTTCCTGACGCTGAAGATCGCCTCGCGTCTATGAAAACTATTTTTTTTTTAAAGTGGTTTATTCTCCTCACTCCATTGTTTAAAATAAAGTATGTCGCTGCTGTTTCCAACCTCGCCACGGAGCAAACCCTCCAGCCTTGTGCAGGCGGCAGACTTGTTTTTCCAACTCCTTCCTCAACTCCCAATCCCCCCTCCCATCCCCCAGCTCACCAGGAGCTACCACCAGTAGAAGCCTTGGGGGCCTCATTAAAAACCCCTGTGGGGAAAAGAGTGCCCCCATCCAGCCTCCCTTCCTCCATCTTGTGTCTTGCTTGCTTGTCTTGGTCCTGAGGTCTCTGGCTGAGATCCTCCCATTCGTCCGGGTCGCTGTCGTCCTGGCTTGTTGTCCATTCCATCATTCCTCCGTCTAGCGTGCTTGGTGCCCTTGCTGTTTCTGTTGCTTGGTGGGTTTTCGTTGCTGCTGGTTTTCTAGACTGGTTGCGCCTATGTCTCCTCCGGTCTTTTCTCAGGCGTTTCTTCCTTGGTTTTGGGTTTGGTTTGCTGCTGCTATCAGGGCTCCTTTTGGGGCTCTCTGTTGGTTCTTCAGTTTCGATCCATTCTGTTTCTTGTGGTGAGTTGCTCTCGTAGGCCTCTCTCGCAGCTTTTGAGATTTCTATCATCCCAGGTCTGAGGATTTGTTTTCCGGTTTTGTGGTTGAACCACATTTCAATGGCTCTTGCCCTTTTCTCATATTTGTTATCGTGTGTGTGGAATCCAAACTCGTCTGGGTTGCTGTCCATGTTTTGGTTGCAGACTAGGCACCATTTTCCTGATATTCTTTTTTGCCGTTTAGTCGGGCTTTTCTCTGGGATTACTTCCGGTCCTGGGTTGTGTTGTGTTTCTTCGGTGGGTTCTTCATCCTCCTCTAATACTTCCTCTTCTGCTTCCTTCCTTTTCCAGTTTGCCGTTTTTGCGGATTTCTTGGTGGTCGCAGTTATTGCAGGTGTTTGTTCTAGTTCCCATTTGACTGTTTTGTCGCATCGCTCTTTCCACATTTCTCTGGCCGCTTTAGTCACGTTTTTCATTGCATTGATG